CCCCCCCCCCCCCCTCCTCTTGCATGAATTGTGAATTAACCTGATAAGAGATGATGTACAAAAATGTATTTAGAATGATGGCAGAAACAGTCGAAGCAGTCAAATTGGTGAAGAGGCATCTGACAGAGAGCAATGGTGGAGAATAACTTTAAAGGTTTGAGGGCATACCTAGTTTCTCATCAATTCCTAGACATATTGCTCTGTTTCATATGGTGCTCATCTTCAGAACTGTTGACATTGACAGAAAATGAAACTAAAAACATGTCTTAATGCCACTGCACTTAACCCCAAATAACAAGATAATTAAATTGCGATTTATCTCACTGGCAACCATCTGCTGTCTGTATGGTAGTGCAGAGTAAAACTCACCAGACCTGTTGATGAATATTAACCCATTGGCCATTGAGCACCACTGCTCTTCTCTTGACAAGTAAAATTGTCTGGCGTTTAGAAGCAGTAAAATAATACCTGTTGCCTGTGTCGTCAATTTCTTATTGTAAAACTAATAAAATAAATAATAAAGTAGCTGGGCACATTGCAACTTAATGGGTTAACTACAGTAGAAACATGCACAGACAACTTCGGTCCCAGGGTCTTTCAGAACAAGGTTGATGCCAGCCTAGTCCCTAGGCCTCTTAGTACGCCTATTGCGCGTTTTGACGTCACGGAAATCAAAAGCGTGCACAGAGGACTTGGGACTAGTCTGGGTTGATGCACAGATAGTCTGTGCAGAGGCGCCAGAATATTGATAATTGGGGGGGGCAGATATTCATATATTCGTGTTCACAGACTGTAAAAACAATTGATTTCAAAAGAAATTAATTGGGCAGAACACGAATATATGAATATCATATCTGCCCCCCCCCCCAATTATCGATATTCCGGCGCCTCTGAGTCTGCGTGCCTGTGTTCGCCCCTGGGGCCCATTGCAACTTAATGTGTTAATACAACTATGGCTCAAACTCATATTAATGTTCATCTCTAACCAGGATACGCCAAATCCAGGAACATACGAAGTGGTAGATTTTATTGATGAACTGAACAAGAAGGTCGTACCACAATCCTACAGGTTCAAAGATCAAGGAAGAAAAAAAGACGCAGATCCGTCAAGAAAGGGAGTCATGTTACTGCCTGGACAATATAAATATCAGACATTCGTTGATGACTTAAAAAATAAACAGTGCTATGCAAGTTTTAAAGCTTCAAAAAGATTTAACGGGCCTGGCGTTGCTGGATTAGTTGATAAGGTATACTATGCAATGAGAGGTTTTTGTGATAATTTGATAGTAACGGTCCTACGCAAGCGTGAATTGTGGTTAAAATATTTTTCTGCAAACCCTGTCGCATACGATTAAACTTACCATTGCATCACTTTTTTCAATTCTATCAGGATTTGTTCGCAAGTGATATTAGCCCAGCGAGTTATGACAAGGGATATCAGATCGACGCGAAACATGCTTCAAAGTATGGTAACATGATTTACGTGCTTGACAACCATAAACTATATCATTCAACTGAATTGTCTTTTTCAACAATTTTGTTCTAATTTTCAGATATTCAATATTCAAGTCGAAGGTTTCTAGATTTCCAACTGTTTATTTCAAACCAGTAAGTGCATCGTTCTTTTATAGTATTTTAACAAAATTTCAAGTAATAATAATAATATGCAATAATATGCAAATAAAATTCGCCATCCGTTTCTAGAAAAGCGGTCCAGCACCAGGACAGTACGGAACATCAAAAGATTGTTGTCTTCCTAAAACTAGCGGAATGACATCTTCATTCACGTCAAAAACGCCACGGTTTCAGAAAGTCCACTATTTGGTAAGTTTAAACAACAATGCATTTGAAACTAATCTAATTAAACTAAATGTAATAGGCAAGGAAAAGTTGAAGGTTTTTGAAATTTTATTTTATTTGGACAGAACACACCAGGACCTGGTTCGTACGCTAAAACGTATCAAACGCCGATGCCAGACACGATAAAGAGAATGGGAAGAAATCATGGATTGTTCTTCACTTGTGGTCAGGATGGAAAATACTGAAGCCGAAACACAAGGTTTAACATGACTCTGAAAACAATGGACAGTTTAAAATGGCTTCCTCCATGAAAAGTTCGATCAACCTCATACCCAGAAATACTCAGGCTCTTTCCTTTAGAGAAGCGTACGAGGTTGAAGCTGGAGTAGCAACCGTTAAAAAGACTTAGTCACTTTCCTATAAATACGCTGGAATGCACATGAGACGATGATATTGATACGTATATTGAAGGAATACTATAGGATGAAAATAACTCAACACATAAATACAACCTCAATTTTAAGTTTTGATTCGTCACGTGTGCACTCATGCAAATTTAGGAAGTGTCTATAAACTTTTGAAACAATTGACGCTCATATGCCCATACAGGTTACAGTCAAACAGCATTATTTAGTGATCAAACTATTCTCATTAGTTCCATACATACATGAACAAAGACTGTCACATACATTTATGACATATACATACTACGTGAAAAGTTTACGCTTTTAAGCAATTTGATCTATTTTGTAATTTTACTATAATTGTACAGTTTGTAGATAAAAGTATGAAAACGTGTTTTACCAATTAATGGTAACTTTTTGTATTACTTGCATTCAATATTTTTCTAGAAAACCACGTTCAATCAAGTTCGTTTTGAAAGATGGCGTCTCGTTCATTAATTGTTTGTCATTCTAATTCTTCCAGTCAATCCTACCTCACACGTGATGTGAACGTATGTTGTGACGTCATTTATCTACGAATATTTACCGCCTGATCCATTTGCCAATTCTGAACTTCGTTATCTCCATTTGATTTGCTACATTTGAAAACAGGAAGAAAAAATTCACACAATTGTATAAAGAGAAAATTCTAGGGCATCTGCGTAGAGGCTCTGAAAGGGGAAGGGGCGAATGGGGGGGGGGGGAGAGAAGAACAAATGCGGAGTCAAAATGCGCATGATTTATTACCCTACACCCCCCCCCCCCCTTGTTTGAGAGTCGCATCATTCTTCAACTTACAGAATTCTGTAAGTAACCCGAGATGAGTGCTTGGACAGGATGTGTTCTTTCCAGATGTTTTCTGTACTCGTCCAATCTCTGTTTATCTTTCATGCTCACGATTGTCTACAAATTCAAAATGTAAAAATTGTAATTGCTTCAAATAAGATAGGAAATTGAGAAAAATCACAAAATAAGACCAGAAGTAAGTCACCTCTACGGCTACTTTATGACATTTTAATTTCGTAGCCAAAGCCAGCCTTGTTTCAAGGTCTTCAATTAAAGTCAGATACTTGCTCAGAATCTTCAAACACAAAGCAAATCACGTCATTATTTCACGGAGGAATTAAAAGAAAAAACGTCATTTTTACTTACATCCGGGGGTGCGTTGCTTTTTTCTAAAATTCCAACAACTTTATCAAATCCTAAACTGGACTTTTGTTTGTTAGAACCATACCAGCTCTAAACGAATGACAAAGTGACAAACTGGAATTTCCAAAATTACTCTGTCGAGGCATAAATTTCATCAAATTCCAACAAACCTTGGATGTAAATAATGTATCCAAGTCTTCCCATTTCTTGAGCTTCGCTCTCGCTCCAATCATGATCCATTCGAACTGTTTATCTGTGAGCTGCCACAAATTAAAATTGATATCGGCCCTTAGGTCTCCTGGCTTTTTTTTGTCTGTCTGTCTGTCTGTCTGTCTGTCTGTCTGTCTGTCTGTCTGTCTGTCTGTCTGTCTGTCTGTCTGTCTGTCTGTCTGTCTGTCTGTCTGTCTGTCTGTCTGTCTGTCTGTCTGTCTGTCTGTCTGTTGGTAATTATACCTTAAATTCCTTCTGCAAAGAAACAGGACCAAGAGTTTCCTAAGAAAACCAAATAAGATGCAATAAGCAAGCTGACAGTTTTTCAGGATGCATTGAATTACTGACCATTCTTCTGTATCAATCAATCAATAATTTCAAACTTACGTCATCTTTTCCATGATGATAAAAACAACAATAATGTAATGTTTCAATTAACGGTAATGACGTAATAGATTTGCGTGGATGAAGTCTCATGATTTGATTCTTGCCTTCTGCTTGAGTTCGTTTGTCTTTAATCTGGAATCAATTAAAAATATTTTATAACATGGACACTCGTCAATTTGCCCACATAGTCACGTGATATTTAACAACTTTATTGGTGCCATAAATTACTTTAAAATAATTAGTTCAATATCAACTGGCCCAAAAGGGAAGGTGCGAACGAGGCTATATAGAAGATAGTCCCATGCAAGGCACCTCCCTTCTCAAATAAGTAAAAATGCGATCAGTGGCACACGGGCCGCGCACCTCAATTTTCACTTGTCTTTTGAGAAGAGTTTGGTGCTCATTCAAAACTGATACCATGTCTGCTAAATCAGGCGTTGTTTCATATATTCTGTAAAACATTAAAAATATCAAAACTTGAAGATTCATAGTCATTGATAATGGGCAAGGAAAAGAGGATGCCAATACTCCAATACTGAGGTTCAGATTTGACTTCCACTGCCACTACAATAAAGGGACCATTAACCAATCAAATGCGTTTAATCTACCAGATTAACCAATCGCATGCGTTTAATCTACCCGATTAACCAATCACATGCGTACTTAGTCAGTAAAAGGTAGTGGAAGTCAAATCTAAACGTCACTTTAACGTAAGGCAATGACAAATCCTCTATTCACTCCAACACATTAAGTGAATAACTTGCGCACCTTTGACATGTATTTATCGCTTGTATTTGTGAATCTGGATTTGATGACGCCACTGCCTTCTTGTACTCTAACATCTACGTTACAGAAATTGAATAGATTTTTTATGAATGGTGCATGGTTCTGGACGACCAGGAAAATATATAACGATATTTACCATTGCCTCTTCCTTTCTGTTCAGAAGTCTGAGGAAGGAAAAATATATACACCAATTTTAATACTGACATTAATTGAAGTCATGTTAGAGAAGTGTCTGTACTAGAGAGATGTCCATATTAGAGAGGTGTCTGTATTTGAGAGGTGTTCATATTTGAGAGGGGTCTGTATTAGAGAGTTGACTGTATTAGAGAGGTGTTCATATTAGAGAGGTGTCTGTATTAGAGAGGTGTTCATATTAGAGAGGTGTCTGTATTAGAGAGGTGTCCATAGTAGAGAGGTGTTCATATTAGAGAGGTGTCTGTATTAGCGAGGTGTCCATATTAGAGAGGTGTTCATATTAGAGAGGTGTCTGTATTAGAGAGGTGTTCATATTAGAGAGGTGTTCATATTAGAGAGATGTCTGTATTAGAGAGGTGTTCATATTAGAGAGGTGTCTGTATTAGAGAGGTGTCCATATTAGGCCGATGTCTGTATTAGAGAGATGTCTGTATTAGAGAGGTGTCTGTATTAGAGAAGTGTCTGTATTAGAGAGGTGTCCATATTAGAGAGGTGTCTGTATTAGAGAGGTGTTCATATTAGAGAGATGTCTGTATTAGAGAGGTGTCCATATTAG